TATATGGCCAAACTTATCAGTCCTTTTCTTTGTGGGTTCTGCCTTTAATGCTGTTCTTTGAAAGTTCCTTCTTAATCCAAGATTATAAAAACATTAACATATTTTTTTCTAGTGCTTTTTTGAGTCTGGCAGAGAGTAGGGATCTAACTTTATTTTTTTTCCCCAAATGGTTAGCACATTTTCTCACTGACAATTTAAATTATCACTAATTTATAATGCTTACTTTACCTGATTTATATTGGGTTTGTTTTTAAGTTATCTAGTTTGTTCCACTTATCTGTAAGTCTATTACTTCTGTATCTGTGTCATGCTGATTTAGTTGTTATTATGCATTAGGTAATTGTGAGTCTCCCACCATTATTCTTATTTTTTTCAATAGATTTTGAAAAATACATAGTTTCAAAAATAATTTCCAGAATTCATTTGAAATTTACCGTAAGAAATCTTTTCCATTTTATTCACTCAGTTCTGACAGTTAATCAGAAATACTCCATTTAAGTTTCACTAAATAGTAGATTTCTTGAAATAATCATAAAACATTTTCTTAAACCAAAGATAGATAATTATTTCATGTTAGCAGATATACATTTGAAAATAATGATTTAGTTTTGATGTCATATTTTAAAAACCCAGATAATTCACATGACAATTTAGAAAGCTAACATTTAAAAATGTTTATCTTTGAAATAAATGAATACAAATTAAAGCAAACTATATCTACTATTAGAAAAAACAGGGTTTTTTGGGTATATAATCATGTTCAAAACCATCTTTTAAAAAAATGTTAGTTTCTTTAGTTACTGGTAGCACTGTAAATTTGTCCAATTTTAGTGAACTGACATTTTGCAAATGCCAATTTGACCTTAAAATCCTGTTCTGGGAACTTATTCGAAGGAATTGTTTCATAAGAAAAGTGCAAACACACATACACACTCACATGTTTTTTGTAGCATGTATGGTGTTAGTAGAGATCATTTAGTAAACTACGGTATGCCTACCAAAAATTACATAGACATTAGCATAGAAAGTAATACCATGCAGAATCATGGAAATGTGGAAGTATTTATGAAATAAAATTTAGTAAAACAGAATAAAAAACAGAATATATATTATGTTACAATTTACAGTATATACAGATGGAAGGTAATAATATTCCAAAGCAAAAATAGTGAAGTTATAATATGATTAATGATATATTTAATTAGAATTTTTAAAGAAAAATTTCCAATAGGAATATTAGCTATATTTTTTAAAAGCTGCAAAATCAATTGGTTATTTTACCCAAAGAGAAAATAAAGAAATATTTTATGAAAGTCACAAATTATTCTGTCATGCATGGGTGAATGTAACTACTGCCAAATCCAACAACTAATTAAACTACATCAATTGAAACAAACAAGCATATATAACCTGGCTATCTCACTTCCACTTTTATTGTGTATACATTTTTAGAAAATTAAAACAAAGTATATGTAGCTAAAATGTTTAACTATTGTAGCTATAGAATGATTTTAAAAATAAAAAAATATAAATATATAAAATCAGCTATTTCAATCTGAATGTTGGGCTGAGTATTTGGTTTATACTTCCTTTGATTGATAGGCAGTGATGGACCATTTAAGTGGACCTAATAATAAGGCAGGCTCACTGGAGAGGGAAGACAGACCAGAGATACCCTGAAGACTACTCACAGCAATAGTACCAGAAAATGTGATGAAGTCCTGAACCAGGGAGATACCAATGAAACTGGAAAGGGTGAAGAAATATGTAGGACCTGTCAAAAAATTAGATGTAGAGAGATACGGAGGGGAAGAAACCAAAGATTTTCCCACAGTTTCAAGTCTGCGGGATTATGGAGCTGAAGAGCACCAAAATAAAAATATATGAAGAGAATTACTATGGGATAGAAATAGCTTTCCTGCTTTCTTTCTGTTATGTAAAACATACCTATGAATTAGAGATAAAACCTCAATATCTGGGAGGAAAGAATTAAAACTTTGGATATATTAGAGCATGCTCAAATTTAAATTTCAACTGCAGTAAACAAGATTGTTACTGAGTTAATCTCTATAGAAAATCAAAGAACCACACCAATATTCTTCTGTGATTATGTGACAGTTCTATACTCATACAAGCCCTGAAACTCTGAGTTTGAATTCTACAGAATATAAAAATGTAGCAGAAATCCCTTTTTTTTTTTTTTGAGACAGAGTCTTGCTCTGTCACCAGGCTGGAGTGCTGTGGTGCAATCTCGGCTCACTGCAACCTCTGCCTCCTGGGTTCAAGTGATACTTCCACCTCAGCCTCCTGGGTAGCTGGGGCCACAGGTGTGTGCCACCACGCCCTGCTCATTTTTTTGTATTTTTAGTAGGGACGGGGTTTCACTGTGTTGGCCAGGATGGTCTTGATCTCTTGACCTCGAGATACGTCCACCTCGGCCTCCCAAAGTGCTGGGATTACAGGCATGAGCCACTTCACCCGGCCCAGAAATCCTCTTTATTTAAGGCTTTTATTTTATGCAGGCCACTGAAATGAGGAATATGTATAGGATGAAGGTCTGAATATCTTAGACAAGTTAGCTGATAATTATTTTCAGATTACATTAAGGGGAAAGAAACTTACATGAACTGATATAAGCACTTGCTAACATAGGAAAGGGCAGTAGGCTGAGAAGAGTAAGGAGCTCATAAAATAAGAATTAACAAACTAGAAGTAGTAGAAAAGAAAGGGTCCTTCTCATTAACTACTCCTATTGCTACCCCCAACTGAGGCTGGAATAACCAGTGCTGGCACTGGGCCTGTCTGATGATAAAAAGGACCGTATCACTTCTCTACACAAAACCCTCCAGTGGTTCCTTATTGCATTTAGAATAAAATAAAAACTCCCTACCTTAGTGCTCAAGGCTTAGATGATCTGAACCCTGCCTACCTACCCCTGCAGGCATCTCACATCACTTCCCCTCAATCTGTGCCCCAGCTCTTCTGGCCTTTCAGTTTCTTGTTTTAGCTTAAATGCTACTAGTTAGAGGGGCTTCCCATGGCAATATTTTAAAGTTGTTTTCCCTACTGTTCATCATTTTTTTTTTTTAAAGACAGAGTCTTGCTCTGTTGCACAGTCTGGAATGCAGTGGCAATCATAGTTCGCTGCAGCCTCAAATTCCTGGGCTCAGGCAATCCTCTTGCTTTAGGTTCCCAAGTAGCTGGGACTACAGGCATTTGCCACCATACCCGGCTATTTTTTAAAAACTTTTTGTAGAAACGGGGTCTTGCTATGCTGCTTAGGCTGGTTTTGAACACCTGGCCTCAAGCAATCTTCTTGCTTTGGCCTCCCAAAGTGCTGGGATTACATGGGTGAGCCATCATGCCCAGCCCCCATCATTTTCTTTTAGCCAGAGGGCTTGTTTCTCTTGGAGAATTTATCAAAAATACTAATTATTTTATTTTCTTATCACATATCACAATCATTCTATCAGTATATAGTCTGGGGTACATAGTAAAGGCTCAGTAAATATTTGTTGAATGAATGAATATTGAAGAAAGGAATCAAAAAGTATTATTAAAATAATTTTTATATATTAGGAAAGGAGACGAGTGAAGTATTCTGTCATTATATCAGAGCCCACACACATCTTGAGTATAATTAAAATGAAAGTTCCTGCTATTTACTAAGAATTAAACTTAACTAGGCAATCCCAGTCTGTCTTCAAGTCTTACGAATTTTTCCTTAGAAGTATCTCTTACATCAGTCACCTCTGTTCACTTCCAACTGCTCACACCTAGCTCATTTTGCTATATTTACTCTCCTTGCTTCCTACCTGGTTTCCCTTACTTTCTGCCTCAGTCAATCCATTTTGGATATTCTACCAGACCAATTCTCTATTACAATGATTGCATCGTGTCTTTTCCCTTCCAGCGCCTCCAAAGATGCAGTTTTCTGCTGTATCAAATCTAGGCTATGCTCCTCCCCAGGTTCTGATGGCTCCCTGTAACATGGCTCAATTCTGTCTTGTCCACTCCTCACAGCCCACCACCATGTGCTATTTGAGGCAGACAAGGCAGTCTTCGCAGAGTATCCTGACAAACTGCTCCATTCCAGTTCCTTTGCCTTAGTGCAGGTTATTCCTTTTACCTGAAATGCCT